CTGTAATAAACAAATATAAAATTCATAAAACGGTGTTAAAAAAAACTTAATGTTTTAAAACATAATTCTTATGAGCATCAAATATTTTATTTATTATTTAATTAGATATTTATTTAAATAATTATATATTTTCCGAAAAAAATCTTTACAAAAATCAATTTTTATAAAATATTAAATCACTCCTTTTCTTCTATTATTTCTAAATCATGGTGAAATAAAACGGCTCGAGAATAAACCGGAAAAAATTACTTTTACACGAAATAAAAAATAATATTTACCGCAAAGTTGTTCCGCTGGCGCCCGATGCCTCTCCCAGGTCCCCTCCTCCTCTCAGGCTGTCCTCTCGGATTGTCACTATTGTCAGCTCCCTCGATGCAACACTTCCCGCGTCGCTATCTTCTGAAACATATAAATAAATGATTTGATATTAACTAATTCTTACGCATCAAACTTCTTATTCATCATTCAATTACACATTTATTTAAATAAATATTGTGCTAAGAGAGACGCGGCGTCGCTAAATTAATTCGCGAGATATAGATCTTCGGCCGAACAAGCTTCCGAAATATACATATGCGTTCGAACAGATTATCAATATCCGAATCTATACAATCTTCGCGATAGGTATTGCAATAAATGTTAAATGCAGAATTAATGCATGTTATACCACTTACCACTTAAATAAGTCGCGACGCCACTCGTTCGCAGCCGATCCATCTCATGCCCGTCGCGATCTGGAAATGGAAGAAAAACGTCATCAATATGGCGGAGACGCGTCATCCCCATTTCCCGCGCGGCGCGCGGACAACTTCTCGCGCCAAGGCCGCCAAGCCAAGAGTGTCGGCGTCGCTGGTCGCTATACGCGTCCCGCTCTTAACTTCGCGATCATGCATTTTCCAAACTTCAAAAATCAAATATTATAAACTCGCCTATCATTATTTTGCACTCTAGCGAATAGCGTATTAATATTTTTGACAGATATCCGCAATATTCGCACGACATTCGAAAATATGATCGCTTTCGCGATAGCCCTCGCGACGCGATCATTCGGCTTTCGGCCGAACAATTAAGTATCGCGGAATACGTATTTTCAAGAATCATTTTAATGCGGCGAGCGTCGAATCCATACTACGCGATAGATACTACAATGAATAATGCATGCAAGGTTATAATATGTGTTATACACTTACCAATTAAATGAGTCGCGACGGCACTCGTTCCGGAGCCGATCCCTTCCGTCTTCCGTGTCCATTTCTCCGATTGTCCGCCGCGATCTGGAAATGGAAGGAGTATTATACGTATCAATATGGCGGAGGTGCTTCGTTTCCGCGCGGGCAACTTGTCGCGCCGAAAGCGCCGCGGCCGCGGTTGCGGCGCGCGGCGTCAGCGTCGGCGCCGCGGCGCCGGCGTCGCTAGATCACTACGCGTCCCGCTGTCAACTTCACGATCATGAATTTTCCGGACTTCGAAAATGAAATATTATAAACTCGCCTACTATGACAATTGTTATTTTGCATTCTAGCGAATAACGTATTAACATTTTCGGTAGATATTCACGATATTCGCGACCCTCGAAAATACGATCGTCACTTTCGCGATTGCCCATCACGCGACGCGCCTTTCGGCCGAACAAGTACGATATACGGCGAAATACGTATTTGTCATATTTTTAAGAAATATCAGTACCCGAGCGCTAAATCTATACTACGCGATAGATACTGCAATGAATACAATACATCCAAGAGTAGTATATATGTGTTATTTTTACCAATTAAATGAGTCGTGACGACTCGTTCCGGAGCCGATCCGTTCCGTGGACGCCACGTTCTGGAAGTGCAAGGGGCAAGGGGAAAGGGGAACGTCATACGTCATCAACATGGCGGTGACGCTTCGTTTCCCGCGCGGGGCGTGCGGTGCGGCGCACGGTCAATTTCACTTCACGCGTCAAGAGCGACGAGCGATGCAACGCCACTATTACACGTCCCTTTTTTACTTTCGCGTTTATGCGTTTATTTTTCTCACTTTAACAATAAATGCTTGACTTACATAGCAGTCGTTTTTCGCTTTATGATCCAAGTTAAATATACAAGTTAATTTTAGTCCGGTATCACGTACGTGACACTACGCAAGTCAAATGAATGGCTAATAAAAGCGTATACCTAATGATACTGCGACTCGTTTATTTATACGTTCACAACAATTAATGGCTGCGTTCTGCCGATACTCCGCTAGCCTAGCAATCGTGAGCAGTCGCTCGTTTTCGCTCGTTTCCTCGCCTTTGACCCAATGGATTAAAAAGAGAGGAAACGAGCGACTGCTCACGATTGCTAGGCTAGCG